TACTGATTCCCATTCCATTTCAACTAATCTTTCTAAAGGATGAGATAATCTAGTGTACTAAGCAACAACTCTCACTCTTCAGTGATACACTTTAAAATGAGACTATTGTAATTCTTACAATTACTCTGTGAAGGCTGAATGAATAAACTCAATATACTGAGCATGCAGCAAATTAATAATCTCAAGAGAGGATAATTTAAGTCCCCATGTCCACCACAGGAATTTCAAATCTTTTGTTATGTTATACATTTGTGAATGAAGCATACTTGGCAGGTATATTTTGATGAACAACCAAATGAAAATAGCCAAATAAGTCATTTGCTATCTCATCACCACAATTAAGACACCAAATGCATCTCTCTCTCCCTCCTGCCCTTCCTCCCCTGCCCTTTCTCTCATTTGTTTTAACTCTAGTTCTAGTCCTTGGGAATATAATATAGTGAGAGCATCTCTATTAATGAGTTCATAATTTCTATATACTTAGATTTGCAGGCCAATCATCTGTTAGTTTATAAAACATAATATTTTTAAGACCACTTATGGCATTAGACATAATTTTATAGTGAAAACAACTTGGCTTGGGTGTGGGTGGGGGTGTATTGGTACTGTGGGGGGAGTGGAAGCTACAAGTTGCATTTCTTTCCATAACTAGAGACATCTCTATTTAAATGTTCTTTATTGTTCTGTTTACTTTTCCTTTTTTAAGTCTGATACTAATGGGCATTCATAGAAAAGCAACAATATGTTTTTTAAAAGCTTGTTTTACCTGTAAATTATAATCATATAAAGAATAGACCTTAATTTGCAAACATTTGAACAGTATATACCAAGACAAAGAGGATGGTTTCAGTAACTTTGTCATTAACTCCTCTTAAGATTCTACAGAATTTTTCTAACTTATTCAACCGTTCTTTTTTGGTGAATATTTATTTTGCAACTGAAAGCTAACTACAGTACAAAACAACTGTGCAAAAAGTTTATCCAATAAAGCACAATATCATTTGATCACATTTCCATATTTCATTTTGCCTATTAACAGCCCAGAGTAAGACATTTATGCTTTGAAACAGTATCTGTATTTGGCACAGAAGTCTATTTACACAAGAGCTTGTTTCACTTGCCATTTATTCCAATAACTTGAGAACAATTATTTGCAACTAAATCTAACAGTATTTGTACAAGTACTTTCAAGCTAAAATACTGCTAAAAAAATTTCAACACACATGCACTTCAATATGTTTACATAATACAACATATACTTATTATAAAACCTGTGACTCTGAGCACTTTATAGAATGTAAGTACAGGAGTCACTCTACCCTCTAATGAAACATGGCCACATCTGGGAGAACAGACGCTGCTGAGCAGAAGAATCCTGTGTTCAACTGAGCTGAAATAGGTTGGCTATTTGGACCGTTCAGGAATGCTACTGCGCCATCATAGAATCGTTCAGTAGCTCAATTCACTAAAAACTGCAGCTGATTTTCAGGTAAAAGCCCTTAGCAACCACAAAACTGGTAGCACAAGCAACACTGGGAAAACAGACTCTTATTATGCAGGTGGACTCTGTGTTAAGCAAAGTTGATATTGAAAATCCAAATATACAAAACAGATAAATAAGAGAGTGATTATTTGTATTATAAAATGGTTTTCTGCTTTATAAAAAAATTCACAAGATTTCTCTAAATGGTAGCTCCCCTAATGCATTTAAAATACATTTTGATTTACAAAACTTCAATTTACAAGTGACTTTTTGCACAACCATTGTGAGAAGCAAAGTACATGTATATACAGTACTTAATATTCTGTCTCACGATTTAGGTAAAGTGTCTTATCGTTGTATTGGTAAAGGACACTTAAGCCAAATGTTATCTTTTAAACCACAGAAATATAAAGTAAAGATTGCCTCTAAACATGGATCTTCCAGAAAATTTACGTACATTTGTGGTTTTGTATTTACAGTTTTGGGGTTCATCTTTGCAATGCAGATCTTTAAATAGCACAGGTGTATAGCTATCTTCAGGCTGTAAAACTGGGCCCTATTCTGCAGAAATTGGTCTTCTTTTATTTTTGTGGGTTCCCCCCCTTATTAGAAGTATAGCTCCAAGGAAGTGTTAATGGTGGTTACACTGTAGCTAGTCTATTTATGATATATCAGTTTTATACTTCATTGCACAGAATTACCTTTAAAAACCCAACTTCCTGCATTTCCTTACAGTTCCCACTGTTTACAGTGTGTGATTGCCATTCAGATAAAGTTATCCTTTATTGGGTAATAAGCTCCCTGGCAGGGGAGGCGGGAGGGAGTACAGCAGAGATCGTGTCTGCTTTATCTCTGTGCCCCCTCAGCACACAGAACAGAACCTTGCACCTAGGAAGCAAGCACTCAATAAATCTTTATTGAATGAATGAATGAATGAATGAATGAAGAAACAATTGGATTGGGAGAATTGTCTGGAAGGCTTTCTTTACTCTAGCATCTAATCCAGTATGTTTCTGAAATGTGGACCATCAAAATGAATTTCCAAAGTCTGAAAAATCACAGAATCTCTAATTCCTCATACACTTTTTGTAAAATCCATAAAATATTGAGCACTTGATGACATGAAAATATGTAGAAAAATTAAATCACCTTAGAGGTGAGAGGACAAAGCAAAGGAAATTGAAGGGTCATTTCCTTACTCACCAACTGCTGGGTGGAACTAACAAGGCACACAGGTTGAAAAAAATCCAGAACCAAAATGGACTCTTGGCAATTGTGTCTAGACTGAGAAGTGGTACTTTTAAATGTTTCAATACAAGGTGAGCCACAGGTATAGTCAGAAACAATAAAAGCAACTAATTAAGAGCTAGAATTGAAGGGAATTACCATTTGCCATTCGTAGGGCGTGGGGAGGATGGCATTCCGTTGGCTGGAACCATTTTGCTGTGCTGATTCTCATATCCAGTACAAGCTGCACGTGAAATAAAAGTGAAATAACAAACTCCAGCTGTAGAAGAGAAAAATAAAAATCCCCCCTCCAATATGTTTGAAAGCACTTGAGTGGATTAAGCAAAACAATTCAGTCAGTGGGGATGGTAATAAGTTCATAAATGTAAAGTGTTCGTGACTGCATTAGAAAATAAAGCTTCAAACTATATAGTGTATTATGCCTTTAAGTGAATAGTCTGGACTACATTCAAATACATCTTAAAACCTAATACAAATAATGCACAAATCTAAGAAGCATGAGAATCTAGAATTAAAACATAATTATTAGGCAAGAGTTTATGAATCTGAGTTCTTCCAGGAGGCCTCTTTAAAGTCATGTAACTAAGCAAGGATTAAGCTATTCCTATTTAAAATGAATGAATTAGGTTTTCTATGGATAAGTAGCATTTTACAGGAATGACTTTAGTTTCAGGAGAGTTAGAACACTGAAGTGGAATCGCTACATCAGTAGTTCTAGTCATCTAGTTTAAATCTAAACATTATTAATAGAGTCTGTATACTGACTTGCCTTCATAATCACTCCCCAAGACCCCACCTCTGTATTCTGTGTTTACCATTGTACCAAATGAGAGCAGCCACAAGAGGATGTCTGAAACTTTTACATATATGCATACATAATATAAATACTTCACGCAAAGAGGAGGTGATTTGAGGACCTACCTCCACGTTCAACTAATATAATATTTTTGTTCCTCTTGTATGAAATGTAAAATCTCTGTGCATTAACTATCTTCTAGGTCATTTCAGCCCACCATTTTCAACTTTGATCTAATGGATTTAAATACAAATTATGATCTCTAGTCAAAGAATGAACATGCTAGCTTGTCACTGTAGATATGCAGAGATTTTAGGTTGTTAAAGGCATTTATTTTTCCTGAATGCCCTTTAAATTTATATATACACAATTACCTTCTATTGTTAAAACAAACTATTTTGCACCAGTAGTGATCAATCCAAATAATTTGGATTTAAGTCATTTCTAATTGAAAGCCTATGACATGAATTGTTTATAGTGACAGACAATGTACTGTTAGTCATTTTAAAGCTTTAAAAGTAAGTTATCAGAATCCACTTCAATCTCCACATGATAATAAAGGATTATTATGTGCAGTAACCTATTTATGAAAAGGAAACAGTGTGCTGCTTTCAGACGCCATCAATTGCTTTAATAAGGAATTGAAAAGCTGGACTACTTTATATGCAGATCACCATCCCAGTTGCATAAGGATTTACAATAGACAAAACAAAACTATTTTTTGTTGTGAAGAAGGGCTGTTTGTTGAAATCACACAATAATGTTTGCATCTAAAAATTATTTACAGGCTAATAAGGCTTCAGAAATGTTATAGAGACTTGGTTAGTTAAAATCATTTTAATGCTAAGACCAAAACAAAAGGCTTGCTCAAGCTGACATGGAAAAATTCAAGTAACACATGCGTATAGAAGGCAGGAGAAAAAAGATCTTACTTTCTTGGTTTAGGTACTTATTAATCAATTTGGAGATGCAAATAGTACATGATTTGATAGCACCCCATTAATGCTTCAATAAACTTAAGAGGAAAATGCTGCTTCCTCTGAAAATGTGAAAATTGAGGATTCTGAGTCTAACCTTTAATCCTAAAAGAAATAGAAAGTAATGTATACATTTGTCTCTGCTGCCTTGAATTTGCAGAGAATTTACTTGGGAAGTTTAATCTCACCTTTGAAGTCTTTGTTCAAGGTATTTAATGGCTCATATGTCTTTATTAAATGAGGTGTGTGGCGGCCTCTACTGGTATGTGTTTATAGAAAATGTCTCAATAGGCAGAAAAAATATTAATTTCAATTAAAAAGTTAGAAATACAGACTCTTTCAGTTAAATATATAAAAATATCTAATTTAATGCAGAAAAAATATATTACAAGTTGTGTAACATACTCTTAATTAGGAAAATAATCTAAAACACTGACCATGTTAGTGTAAAATAATAACTTACGGAAGGGCATTAATTGTTCAATTGACTCTGATATTGGGTTAAATATATTTTATTAATGAATTACTAATCCCAACTGAGGCGGTTTATTACCTCTAGCCCACTGTTAAATCCCTTTAGTTGACTTAAATAAAATCACTTAGAACAAATTCAGAGGAAAGGAAATATTTTACAGTTAAATCTCAAAAGTCCTAGAACTAGAATCATTTGATGACAGGCTGGATTCTATAACTCAAGCAAACTGTACGTTGACTTAATATAGCTGACATTTCGATCTATTTTACAGTGTTCTTAATTTCAAAAATACAACACATTAAAATATGTTCAATTTATCAAAGCTAAAAGCAACATTTAAGTAATGTACTTAAAGTGCAAAGGCACTTTAACACAAAGAAGTGATGCCTAGTGGCTATACTCGGTAACTGAAGACAGAAATACCATATATCATTATTTACAAAAGAATGTATAGTCTCAAAAGATCTTAGGAGATCTTCTACAAAATACACTATTCATTTTCATTTGAAAAATTTGCTTACTCTTTCTTCATTCACTATCATCTCCTCTTCCCATTCCCACACTGGAAAAATAAAAGAAGGGAAAAGAAACAAACCCATAAACAATATATGAAAAACTGCACTGTAGAAACATTCACGTTCAGTGATGATTCCTAAGGAGAGAAGGGAAGAAAAGGTGGCGGTTTGGAGCAAGAGAGAAATAACTTAAAGGAAAACTTGGAAAAGCAGTATCGCTGCTTCATCCCATACCCCCACCATTTTCAAAGTCCCCCATGGCCGCTGGGAAAAGGGAGAGCACAAACACACACAAAAGCAAATGCAGTGCTTCCAAGAGTTTGGAGCAGCATCCTTTGATGCCACAGGGTTGTAAATGGTTTCCCTTCACAGCTGACTGATTGCAGTTTGTTTTTCCAGAACTTCGAGGTAGTCTGGTTCTGATTGCGGCTTAGCTTGCAGTAAAGGGTGGTCCGGCTTTGACTGCCCCACAAAGCATTTCCTGGGAGTTCCATATAAAACGGTTTTATTGATTCTGTCTTGGTTTTGGCGTCGAGATTCATACGAAGGGGAGAACTGCCTTTTGGGTAAGGTACAAAAGTTATAATGGACTAGTCCTGCACTGGGGAGTTCCTTGACTCGCTCGGCAATATTCTGGTAGAGCAACTCAGGCTCTCTTGGTGTGGCCTGCTTTTCTAGCAATTCGGTGGCACTTATAGTGTAAGCAAGTGTGGCTGGCTCTTCTTTTTTCTCCTCCAGGTTGCCATAGCTAAATTCTTGCAGGTTTCGGTAATAAGCTACTGGGTCTCCTTCCTTCTGCATGTAGATGGGGTTTTGGCACATCTGACCCACAGGTGGGGGGATATAGTTATAGACGTGACCATCTGTCTTATCCTGAGTCTCGGTGTTGTAAGAGCCATACTGTAATTGGAAGGAACTCACATCTAAGTTGTTGGCACTCCGGGGAACACTTGGCACCCCCTTTCGGCGTTTCAGGACAAAGACGAATAAACCAGCTCCAAAACAGACAGATAAGATAAAGACAACAAGCAATCCTAAAATTAAGACAGAAAGTGGAACTTCAGTGTGTAGTTCAGGATAGGAACTGGGAGACACACTAAGCAACCGAGGTGTGTCTGTGTTGTGATTCATTGACAAAATGGTTCCATCAGACAAGTTTGGACTGTCTGGGCAAATAGCGTCCCTCCCCAGAAACTTCAGTATCTCCCCTGCGTGCTTAGCGGGAGATTCGCAGGTCACCTCATTGATGATAACAGGGGAATTAGCATGTTCTGTCCAGTCCTTCAGCCCCATGATGTCACAGGTACAGTCCCATGGGTTCTCTTGCAGATCTATCTGAATAAAAGCAGGAAGCTGATCCAGAACCCCTTTCACAGGCAGGTGAGAAAAATGGTTGTTTCTCAGATTCAGCCTGGTGAGGGCCGTGCCCCCAAATATATTATCAGGTAAGGACCGTAGCAGGTTATTATTCAGAAACAGGAGCTGGAGGTTAATCAAAGCATCAAAGGTCAGAGGCTTAATTTCCTTAATCACATTATACTCTAAATAGAGATACTGCAAGCTCTGCAGTCCATCAAACATAGAAGGATACAGCACTTCCAGGTAATTGCCATTCAGATAAAGTCTGCGTAAACTGGTCAGATTTGTGAAGGCACCTTCCTGAATGACTGCAATCCTGTTGTTTCCTAAATGCAACAAATCCAAAGAGCTGTATTCTAAGAGGTCATTCTTATACACAGTTTGGAGATAGTTCCCTGTTAGGTAGAGTTTCTTTGGACTGGTAGGTTTGGGCTGCAGGTCAGAGATGTTGGTGAACTTCCTTTCCTGGCAGTTCACATTTAGCCCATTGTCTGAGCTCTGAGAGGTGCAGACACAGTTACTGGGGCAGGTGAGGGGCACAGGGGACTTGGTCTGGTACACCATGATTGGGCCAAAGCTCTGCCTGTCCTTTGACACGGTGACCCGGGGAGTCGGGCGATTTCTCATTTTGGGTGGCCGGCTGGCTTTTGGGGCCCTGGTTGGGTTGAGAGCAGGATTCACTGTGGGTGACAGCCTTTGGATGTGTGTGTCAGCATGGCTACCCCTTTGACTGGAGTCACCAGTACTTTTTCTGGGACAGAGGTCTTGCCTGGTCAGCTGGGTCACATCTTTCCCGTGCAATCTGAAGGGAGTTTCACAAACAATCTCCCCCACGAAAACAGTGATGGTGTCCAGCCAAGCCTTGAGAGGAAGTAAGTCACAAGTGCAATTCCATGGGTTTTCCTCCAACTGAATCTCCATGATCCCTCCAATGTGCTCGAGGACGCCAGCGAAAGGCATCACTTTCAGTCTGTTCCCCCTCAGGTCTAAGTGGGTCAGCAGGACAAAGCGGAACACATTGCTGGGCAGCGACAGCAGAAGGTTGTCATTCAGGATGAGCACTTTGAGCTTATTCAGTTTGCTGAAGGCCCCTGCCTCGATGGCACTGATGTAATTGTAGTCAGCCTGGAGGTACTCGAGGCTCTCCAGGCCCAGGAAGGTGTCCTCCCTCAGCACCTCGAGTTTGTTGTTGTTGAGATGCAGCCTCTTGAGGGTCTTCAGGCCGCTGAACGCCCCGGCGCGGATCTCCTGCAGCCCGTTGTTGCCGAGGTGGAGTGTTACCGCGTTGGAGTAATTGACGAATTCGTTCGGGTATAGTCTGGTCAGGAGGTTTCCATTGAGGAAAAGCTGATAGATGCGATACTGGGGGGGTTGGAGCAGGCTAACAGTTGTAAATCCTTTGTTTTCGCAGTTAATATTCAGTACGTTTTCCTTCTCTTCGCACAGGCAGCGGATCTTGCAAATGTCTTTGGCAGTTTTGCGACTCTCCGTCTGTAAGATCCCGGCCACGGTTAACACACTGAGGAACCAAACGCCGCTCAGCATCTTTAGGCACCGTCGGTGTCAGCTCAGGTACCTACAGGCAAACCTTGGGGAGCGGGCAGAGAGAGCAGGATGCGGGGAGAAAGAAACAAGGACGCCCGATTAAAATGACAAGGCAAGGGGCGGAGTGGGAGGGAGGGAATGCGGGGAGGGGGCCGCCCGGCAGATTGAAATCACTGCGTCGTTCAAAGCTGTGCCGGTTTCCCCACCCCCGCCCACCCACACGCGCGTCCGCGAACAAACACGCCTGCACCTGATTTCCCGGCGGGTCGCAGCCAGCCGCGGAGTCATTAGTAACCGAGTTGTCCTACTAAATCCAGCCCATCTCCTCCTCCCCTGGGGTATCTTGAAGCGATCTCGGCGGCTCGCCCGCCTTGGGCTCGCAGCAGAAATTGCTTTACTTTTTTTTCTAACTGCGCAAAGAGGGGGTGGGAAAATCAGGGGACTGGCGGCGAAGGAGGGGGATGGAAAAGACAAGACAGTGCAGGGTGGGGGTTACTCACGCATCAGGAGAAGACGGGACCCCTCTCCTCCGCGGTCCACCGGTAGTTTAACATCTTCGGAAAGAGAGAGAGAGCAAGGTAAACGACGACGCCGCTTCCAGGGGGCTGCCCTGTTTTCCGTGGGTTGCTTTAATTTGGCGGGGGTGGGGGTGCGCCGAAGTCAGAACTCCGGCAGGCAGCAGGGGAGGAAAGGCAGGGTTGGAGCAACCGGCAGCAGAGCCGAGGGCGACCCGGGGGCGCGACTCCGCAGGGAGGTCGGAGAGCCTGCCGGCCCGGTCAGCGGGCGCCGGCGACAGCGAGCCTGGGCGCGCTCTTTCAATCCGGTGGCAGCGGCAGCAGTGCGCCCAGCAGTTTGAATTTGAGAGGCTTTGCAGGCTCCCCCGGACAGGGCTAGGGTGACGTCACGGGGGGAGGGGGCCGGCCGGGATGGAGGGCGCGCGCGGTGGGGAGGGAGGGGCAGACGCTTCCCTTCCCCGCGAGCGGCTTTCAAGCTCACAGCCGGGCTGCGTCAGTGGATTCTGAACTACTCCACCTCCAACCTGGCGGGCGGCGAGGGGGTGGCTGAGCTCAGGGTGAGCTCCCGGGAGAGGCCGCGCTAAAGGGGCTGGCACCGCCCGGCCTCCTCCCGCTCTTCCGAGTGGTTCCTTCCGCCTGCCCCCCCCCCATCTCCTGGCCATTGGGGCTGTGTGTGGGGGCGGGGGGCGCGGAGGGGCATTCTCATTCCAGATTACCAAGCCAGGGTCCAGATCTTCCCAGTAAGAAGGGTGTGTCTGTGTGTGTGTGTGTGTGTGTGTGTAGATGTGCCTCTCTGCTATAGGACTGGGCCCGCCTGCAAGCCTCCTCGCTCAAATGCTCTGCGTGCGGAGAGCGGGGTGCGTGGCGCACCAGTATGTATGTGTAGCAGGGCAAGGAGTTCTAGGGGCTTTCTTTGTGCTTTCCATACAGAGCTTTGTTTCAGGGCTAAGAAAATTACTTTCTGGGTGGTTACTGGCCAAACAAATACTTGCCTGGATTCCTAAAGCCAGTTCAACGTTAGCTTATAGACTGAGATAAACAACAGAACCCTTCTCCCCCTGAGGTTTATACTTAGCCAGAGAATGAAGTTTAAACGTGTGCTCTTCGCCTGGTGGAAGGAGAAGAGGAGTGGGTGTCAGAGAGCTGCTGCCAAGCTGAGTCTCCGCTGGGAGTGGGAGCCCACAGAAGGGGCCCTAAGCCTCGGGGCTGCAGGGGCCGGGGAGCTGGAACAGAAGGCGGCAGTGCAGGGAGCCTGGCTTCTGAGAACGGGAGGAGAGCTGGAAGAAGTCTTGGCCTGAGATCCAGTAGACCTGAGTTCTGATCTAGCTCTGTCACCAGGTAGGTTGTTTGTTTCTGGATCTTCTGGTCCCCACTGGCAAACGGGGGTGGACCACATGGGCCCTCCTAGCTCTGCCATTCAGCCACCTTCAGATAACCTCTCCACAGCATTACTAACAGCCAGGTGTTGGGGTTTTGCCTCCATTATCTCATCTCCCCTAAATAATCTTAAGGTTCCTGGACCCAGGAGTCTCCTGGTGTGGAGTCCAGTGGAATCCATTTGCAAGATGTCAATGTCTGCTGTGGCCAGGAAGGCCAGGGGCTGCCTCTGGCAGGAACGGGGGATTTGAGGCAGGGAAAGGGGGGAATGACAGAGTGGGAAAAGCAATTGCCCGAAAGATGTGCCCGTCTTACAAAATACTTTCGCTTACTTTACCTGCCTCTTCAGTCCCAGCCTGCTGCAGACCTAGTCCACACAGGGTCCCGCTGCTGTGCCAGATGTGGGATGGAGACAGCCACTTAGGCAAAATAAGCCATCTGAGACCAAAAAGCCCCCTGCTTCTCCCGGCTTCCTTCTTTCTTAAGCTCAAGCTCAGGTTCTAGGATAGTTGACCTTGGCGCAAGCTTTCTTCCCCCAGAAGGGCTCTGGTAGTTTGTGAACTTGGGCACTTCAGCGACCTGTGGCTCTGGTACTCTCCTCCAGAATTTTTCTCCTTTCCCCCTCTTTTTCCTTCAGGGAAGCACCTTGGACCAGACATCATGAGCCACCTCCCCATCCTGTAATTCTTGCTTGATCTTGGGCAAGATCCTTTCCTTCTGGTGCCTCAAATTCTCCTTCTCTATGCCAAATGGCAACATTGAGAAGGGCTGTCCCCAGAGGGAGAGGGGTAGCCCTCTGCGGCCTCCTGCTCTATTACAATTGCACCCTCAGGTATCAACAGAGTGATGTAGTGTGAGCACCATTAGGCTTTCCTTTCAAAGAAAAGAGGCATCTTTTCCCTCTATGTTTCCGAATATTAAATATACATAGTTCCTAGAGAGATATGGTTTATTCATTGACATTCACTTACCAAACATTTATTAATTAAGTCAACATTTCATAGAACTACAAGCCAACATGAGAGCTGGACAAGACCTTTGAAATCAAATTCATTAATAGATGAGGACATTCCTCAACTAGGGGAAGTGCTGACTTGCTTAAATTCCAGTCTATAAAATTAGAAACAGAACCCAGGGATTCTGAGTCCCAGTCCAGCAGCTTTCCAAAACGCTCGTTACTGCTTATTGTGGCTTAGAGAACTATCTACCTAAACTTAAATAGTGGTAGTGATGTTTTACCTGAATACGGTCCTTTAAAAAAAATTGTATTTGAAAGTGAAATGTCAAACGTTAGTTTTAGTTCTAAATATGGTAATTTCCTTTAAGACATTGCCGGTGCTGTCAGTACTCCCTGAGGAGAGAGACTATTAGAAATTTCAGAGAGATACACACAGAGAGAGGGAGAGAAGCGAGTAGTTAGACTGGGGGGGTCTAGGGCCCTTTTAAATTCTTGACTGAAAGAAGGAATGCGGCGGTGAAACCGGCTGGGTGACCAACTGAGGGCTGTAGTGGCACATCTTCCCCCCAAGGATAGCTGCCCACACGGGTCGTTGGACCCTCCCACCACTACTCTGTCGCCTGCCTGTTCCTGAACTTCCACACTCGCTCTCCTGAGCATAGTTATTGGGAAGAGATCGACCTCCATCCGGATAAGGCACTTTAAGTAAGTTTCATGTGGCCCGGCGTGTCGGGAGGCAGAGCCGCGGCGCTCGCTTAGGAAGAGCGGGCTTCCCAGGAGGTGGGAAGGTTCTGGGTGAACTGGGAACCCAAAGGAGGCAGAGGCGGACATTAAAGTAGGACAAATGCTCCCTCTCCTCGCTTGGGCGAGGGAGGCATGAGCGGGGACTCCGTCTCCGCCGTGTCACTCGCATCTAACCGAGTGGAGCCCGGCTCGGGTCTGCAGTGCCTCCATCGAGCGCGCTGGCCCGTCCACGCCGCGGCCGCCCCCGATCCCGGAGGTAGCAGGAGCCCGGCAGGCCCCCCACTGCCGGCCCGCGGCCACCTCCGCCCCGACGCTCCTGCTCCGGACGAATGCCGCCCCCCGAGCGCTCTCCGGGTCCCTCGCGGAGACTCGGGGGCGCCCGCCGCCAGAGCAGCCCTTCCCGCCTCCCCCGGCTGCGCTGCCCGGCCGCCGGGCCCACGGCCGCGACGGCACCTCCGGAGGCGCTCGCGCCGGGGCCCCGCAGCTCCCCAGGCAGGAGGCCGCGCGCGGCGGCCGTGGTCCGGGGCTGCGCGAGGTCCCGAGCCCGGCCGCGCCGGCGCGGACGGCCCCAGACCCAGCAGTCCCTGGCGGCGGCGGAATCGCGGCGGCCACCGGCGGGCTCGTCCCACGCCGGGTCTGCGGGCCCAGGGAGGCAGCCGGGCCGGGCAGGGGCTGAGCGCGCCGCAGCGTCCCCGAGGGCTCGGAACTTACCCAACCGGCGCGCCGCCCGCAGCTTCGCCCGGAGGCGCCCACCGCATCTGCGACCCGAGCAGGTGCGGGAACCGGCGCACCGTCGGAGCACCGCGACCCGCGGGCCGGGACACGGTGGCGAGCGCGGGCGGCGCCCCCAAGGGCAGGCAGGTTCCCACTGAACGGCTCGCCACCGTGCTGGCTTCTGGCAGGAAGGAGGAGGGCGCCGGGAGGGAGGAGGGGAAAGAGCAGGAGGGAGGAGGGGGGTCCGGCGGCCACTCGCTCTCACTTATCAATCACCCTGCAGATCCACCGTCCCCGCTGTGCGCCGGGGAGTGGGACGTGGCAGCCCACAAAGGAGCCGCTGCTCCGCTTCTGTGCCAGGCACGGCGGAGCGCAGCTCACGCTTCCCGGCCCCTCCGGCCTGGAGCCCTGCCCAGCCCCTGCAGCTTCTGCTGTGGGCTGCAGCTCTGACTCGGTCAAGTGAAGGAAGGACGGCCGTTGGTCGGCACCACATCTGAGGGGGGTCAAGGCCCTCGGGGTGGAAGCTGCGGACAAGTGGAAGACCAGCCAGTCTTCCGAGCTGGGCACCCTGTAGGACGGCTGGCCCCCCTAACTAGTAAGCGTCTGACCCCTGGAGTTCGCCAGCCGAGAGATCATGACGGACCTCCTACGAGGATAGTAAACAAGGAATTTCCATATAATTCACAGCCCAGCGAGACTGGTGCCAATGTGTTAACGCAAGCGAGCCCTGAGCAGCGTTCCAGTGTTTCAGTTTGATTCTTGTCATTCTTCCCCACGTTGCCTAGATCTACTAGAGCATACTTGTTGCCATGCTCCCTTCCTTTTTCTCCTTTCGTTTTCCTCTTATTAGTAGTCCGGGTGGTTGAGATTCAACTACAGGAAGGCGGTCAGGGAGAGTCACCTTAGTTCAAGAGGGAGGCGCGGTGTGGGCCAAGGGCATCTCTGTTCCCCTGGCGACCTGCTTCCCCGCGGCCTCTCTACTCTCCGGGGTACTCAGGACCTAGTCGCAGTGGAGTCTACTGAAGCCAGGAGTAGGGCGTTATTTGAGGGCACCAGGACATTTCCCTCTCACTACTGGCGGAGAGCGGCCGTAATGAAGGTCGGCAGGACCCCTGGCCTACTTATACTCCCTCCAGAGTCTGTAAAAATCCCAGTTCCACAGAATATCCCAACTTGAAGGTGGAGGATAGACGGGAGGCCAGGAGAGGGGTGGGACACTAGAGCAAAAACAAGCTGTCCTGCCAACGAATCTGCATGGGGATGTTTGTTTTCAAGGTGGTTTCCTGCACATTTAGACCAGGTTCTCACAGTGCTGACTCCCACCTCATACATGTCCTTTCCCTGGGGAATATTTTGTGCTTCCTCCTTCTCTTCTTGGCTTTCTTTTCATAATGGTTTTCTAAGGAGACCATGCTGGGACCTTTTAAAAGAAAATTACTGGTAAGTTATAAAATGGACATATGCACAGTTTACTTTTAGGAATAGTCCAAACAATTATCTTCTACAATCATATCTTTGGGGTTTTAAGGATCATTACATTCCTTTTACTTCCTTCCTGAGAAAGATTTTTGAGATTTCCCTGCCATTCAGATAAGCGATTTCTGAGTAACACAGTTCTTGCATGTGCACATGGGCAGGCTATTTACAATTATATATTCAGAAACATTGCCGGCTTTATTAATATCCTTATTTGTGCAAAATATCCACTGTGCTGTTTGTTGCAGACTATGGCAGCTGCCTGGGCACATCATATTATTACTAACTGGGAACAGTTAATGCTGTTTCCTTTCTGTCTTTACCTCATTTCTGATTGTGTCATCTTTTCATGTAGTTGTTTAATGGGTGCTATAAACGACCACAAAACATGGAGCTAAAAGGCTATTCAAAGGCAGAAATAATGAGATAGTCATGCTGAAAAAAGGAGACAGTTTACTGAGAAGGGTGGTGTGTCATTAGCCAAAGGGAACACACAAAAAGGCAATAGCTTGTATACAGATTAGATGAAGAACATGGTATCAAAGATAAAAACTGACGTTTTATTTTGATCCAGTGGAAACATGTAAAATATGGCATGCATAAATTTTAATTAGCTTTGTAAGCAAGTCTAACATGTTTGCTGGGCCTCAGAAAAGCGTTTAGCAGTCTGCCTTTCCACAAGAGACTATACTGACAGTTAGATAAAATGAAAATGAAAAAGAGCAGACTTTTTTCCTTTTGTTAACATAAAATTTTCAAATAGGTGGGTAGCTATTTCAAGGGGTGTCCTGAATGCACACACACACACACACACACACACACACACACGCAATGATGAGCAATACAGAACTTTCTGTGAGGGCTGTTGCATAGGTAATTACAGTAGAAGAGAATGTCACATCTGTGAAAGTTTTAAATGTACAGTTTAACTGAAAGCTGCTTTATACTGACTTTTCTAAGTTTCTTTGTTAGGGGAAAACTTCCTGGTATAATGATTATCAAAGACGTGCACATTAGTGTACTTTGCTTAATTAATTAAAATGACAGTTAATTCTCTGGTGTAGTGACTTTGTAAACATACGTCTGTGTGCTGTTCTCTATTGATTAGTTCATGTTGCTAAAGGGCTTAGAGATCCCTGATTGCAATGCTTGTAGGGAAATAGAGAAAGAAAACTAAAATTTGCTTGAGTTTTTATAATTTCATTCTTAGATGAGGAGAAAATCAGAAATTTCATCTAGGATGAATTTCAAAAATGTGTGTATACTTCTTAGATGATACAAATATTGTCCAGTTACTGTGTAGTTTATAGTTTGCCTGACAATGTTGTTTCATCACCTTCTCCACACCTACCCAGAGGTGGATACTTAGAAAATACAAAAAAACACAAAAAGGTACAGTCAGTAATTTTAAGATGTGAGGTGTTTTCAGGAATACTGTCCCTTTTGAACCAAAGGTTTCAAAGAGTTCAGACACAAATTCCTAAATATAGAAATGCAACACAGAGGACATGCCTTTAATAACAGTAATTATAGTTGAAAGGACTTTGTAGACTTTGGTCTATGATGCTATTGAATGTGTGGATATTTTTAAATCTGCTTCCATGATTTTGATTATCTTGGCAGGTATGTTGGTTTGGTTGGAATAGTGGTTGGCCAAGACCTGAGTAGTGTTTGTCTTAATCAAGTACACATCCAAAGCTTTGGAGACCAACAACCTGTGTGTAAATTCCACCTCTGCTTCTGCCTTGCAGGGTGACCTGAGCAGGCATGGTGCCCCTCTCAGCTTCCCCATGTGTAACACTGGGGACAGTCAGTAAGGCGGGGGTCACACAAAAGCCCTTGACAATTGTGAAGTGGTACACATATGTGAAGAGAGATCTTGAAATGAGGGATTCCTAAACTCACTTCTTAAAATAAGGAAATTATACAAAACAAGGATGTTAGTGAGAAAGTAACAATTTAAATTGTATGATAGAACCAAGATTAGAAAGTTCTTTATGATTCTGGTTGGAATTATATGATGTCAGATATTCAAATGAGAACTTAAAACCATTCCATCTTTTCCTTAGATTTTTCCAAATAGTTGGATATGTGTTTATACCAGGGTTTCTCAACCTCAGTACTATTGACATTTTAGACCAGATAATTATTTGTTGTGGGGGCCATAGCATGCCTTGTGGGAGGTTTGGCAGCATCCCTGGCCTGTGCTACCACAATCCAGTAGCACCAGTATGCCATATATAGACACACTCACATGTGTATGCACACACACATATATACAGATGTGGTATGTGTATATGTATGTGTGTATAAACACCTTACAGTTCTTTAACACTTAACAAGTTGAAGGAACGTAATAATGTACATTGTGACTTAGCAACAGAAGGAGAGCAATATCCTGGGCTCCCTGATGCTCTGTTTTGGGTCTGCTACACCCTGCAGTCTGCCACCTCTTCTGCCCCAGGTGCTATCAGTGGTGGCAGGCAATGCACATGGATGCTGCTCTTTATGAAGAAATATATTTTCCATCATGACCCAGGGCACAGTCATGGGTTGAAACCAGAGTCTCTGAAACAATATCCCCTTGTTGTAGTCATGCACCCTGAACTAGTCTATTATAGTTGATTTAAAAAATTGCTGGCTGTGGCCTACTAAACTGATTTCGTGAGTGACTGATAGGTTGAATCTCACAGCATAAAACACACTGGTACGCTGGATCAGGCAGGGGAGGAAGGAAAGACGGGACAGAACAAAGAAAGGAGATGGCAAAGAGAAAGGGGAAGAACAGAAAGAAATAGAGAATAAAAGAGGAGCTACGTGTGGTACAAAGTTATAGGCAAACGTATGGTGCTCGGTCAATTGTAGCAAGTGTCACTTAGCCATGGTACCTGCTCGCTAAGGCCTCTAGATCTCCCTCCTGGTTGACTGAGTCGAGTGATTCATCATTAACAACCATATTTAACCTTACTGGACTTGGGAGTGAACATACATGGTGAAAGCTGCAGATTGTACAGATAAGGCTTAGGACAGTGTTAATAAGTATTGAATTTTTCCTGACATATCCCATCCCATTAATCTCTCTGAAACTGGAAATTGTATTTTTGTTTGGAGTTACAACTTAATGCATTCAGGAGGATACCAAATTTGTTGAGTTTGACATTGTACATTATTGGAATGGTGTAATGCAGTTGAACCTCTGTACTATGTTGATTTTATTTATGTATTTATGTTTGGCTAGTACAAATATATGGTAAAGTATGTGCTGCGGTAGAGGGTTTAATGCTGACTCTGCTGGAACATTAAAAAATGTCTGCAAGAAAGATGCCCAGTTCTAAAGAGTTACAGCCAGATGAGCAGCTCCTAAGGATTTGCATTAAGTATTTCTGATTTTTTTTTTAAAAAGTCATCATTTGTGAAGAGGACTAGGCTATTCAATTCAAAAATAGCAAGGATGACATACTTCAGATCTATCCTGAAGTTGTGATTTGCACAAAGTGAAGCAGGGTTTAAAAATTGTGGGTTCAGGGTGGAGGTGAAAGTAAATAAAATCATTTCCAACTAATAGCTGGATGCAGCATTCAATCATCATTTCAAATCAATGAGAGGAGAATGGATTTTTTTCTACCTTGAATCTTGATGTTTTATTATTCAGATGTATATCAGTTCTTGTTTTTTACCTTCCACTTTTCATCTTCGAGGATGTTTCCTCAATGACATTACAATGACAGCTGGCACACACCTCTAAGTCAAATGTAATGGCCCCAGGACATATGTCAAACAGCTTTTGCAACTGTCTGTGGTGGTGCTATGGTTCCTAGGCAAACTGTAATGAAAAAAAAAAAGAACAAAAGTCTTCAAATTTCAGGATACTTTTTACAACCTTAAATATTGCTGAAGTTCTCTCAGAAAAAACAGCCTGAAGTCTATGTGGTGTGGAAGAACCATATGGAGTTTCTCGAAAGCATCACTTTGGGGCAACTCCAAGATATGATAACAAAACTGGAGGCAAAATCATCAACAGATTTGTCCCCTACTTTGGGCATCACCGCAGCAACTCAAGTACTGTAGTAGAGTCAGTGTCACTTTATTAATATTTTCAAAGAAAGCAAAAACAAGCTTATTTTTGCTATGCATCATTGCTTCAGAATAATGAATTCAGTATGCTGACCTCTTAGCCCTTTATAGATAGATTTAGTTGGTACAGGTCAGGAAGTGGCACTATTTGAATTAGACAACTTATTTGCCATCATTTAAATATACTGAATTTGTTTTAATGCATTTTTCAGTAGAAATACTAATACTTAAGAAGATGTGTATAGTGCTACTAAATGATGAATGCTGGTTATTATTTGCAGTAAGAGAGGATAATTGTCAAATTAGAATTGATATTCTGCTCACAATTTTAATAAAATATAATCACTTAACCTAAGATAACTCCCATCTATTGAAATAGTACATAACAATTTTGGATAAGCCTGAGTTCCTGTTCTAAGTTCTGCTTGCTTGGAATTCGAAATATGATTTACTCAAGTGTCTGAACAGACCTTCTATGATTTTCACTGACAACACTGGGGTAC